AATGAGCAAACATATAGCAACTCTAGTAGTAGTTTTCCAAGGGCTTGAGCTAGGACCTCAGCATAAGCAATTACTGGTATGTTAGCCTGCCCTCCAACTCTGTGATGACAAGTCTCTAACCTTGGAGAGTTTGTCTGGTTCAGTACTGAGTCCATACGAGATGCCCAGGCTACCAGAAGAACTGAGGGAAATAACAGCAATAGCAAAAGGTTCGGGAAGGAAGAATTGTCGCCCACAAACATCATCTTGTCTCATTTTGAGTGGGTTTTAGATTCTATAGTGCTCTGAACAGGTCAAATATTTTACAAAATTGAAAATAAAATTAAAACTCAACTACATTTTAAGTTTGGAAGGCAACTATAAAAATTCTTAAATGAATGCAAAATTGATTTCCATAAAAAATATCAACTCAAAGTTAGATATTTAAGATATGCTTTAAACAACAACCTTTTTGGTGCTGTATCAGATTTCAGTACTAGAAAGAAATCCGTATGCCTCCTTGGTGAAGGATCTCACAGTGTAATTAGAACACATCATTTATTTTTGGTTAAATCAGTGTTATATGTTATTGAGATGGTATATTCAGGGTTCAGTGATATATATATATATTTCTTTTTTATAATTATTTTTCAAAAATCCTCCCAACTGGTATGTCTCTCTATTCCTGTCTGGCCTCTTTTTGCTGGGGTGAAGACACTGGTTGCTGGTTATCCACTGGTATCCTAATCAAATGGTCATTCTTCATGTATAATAATAATAATAATAATAATAATAATAAGGCTTTGCAGTGAGTGTTGGCAGGTCTCTTGCCTCTAGAGGACGTCACAGTCCAGTCTGACCTTTCTTCACTCAGCTCCCACTCACAAACAACAAACTCAGCATGGCCTGGGATTCTGGGTACCATCAGGGCCGCCCACACCATCAGAGCTGCCCCAATCGTTCATATAATCACATACTCCTAGCGTAACCTTTAGTGTCTGATAAGAAGAAATTGTTACACTGAAGCACATTGAAGCAATGCAAACTCACACACAAAAACCTTTCAGAAGACGAAAACACTAAGCCACGCAAAATTAGGGGGCACGTTTTAAACATCTGGATCAAATTGGGAATTCAGACAGAACAATTTAATAACAGAAAATTGAGGACTATGGCAGGGAAAGCCAGTGAGTCAAATAATAGAAAGGGATTGGATAGATATCTAGGTATGCAATACTTTAGAGGAAAGAGGGAATTGAGCGATATGAGGAAAAGCCAAGAAAGGTGGAACTTAAATCAAAAAGGCCGAGTGTGCTGGGTCAAAGGCTTTTTATTACAAAATTTCCTACGTTCATATCTCATCATCAGGCCATATACGCTGGGTGGATGGCAAACCTGCACCTATCCAGTGTTTTTGCTTCCCCAAAGCCGACTATATATCCTAGATAGTGTCAGCAATGAGAACTCTCAGCACCAGTTTGGTGCTGTTTGGGCACTCAAACACATTGAAGGATTAGAATATGGGGCAGTGCTCAGCGCTAAGGTCATGTTCTTCCATTGTCACCGCTCTGTTTGGTGCTTCATTTAACTGTATGGACAGCTAACAACCCAGATACACCTAATCTTCCCACAAGGCACAACTGGGGTCACTTTCGGGGAGTGCACATATTTCTGAAGGACAATTACAAATGTATATGGGGTGGAGTGATATTCTGTTTGGTAATTGGATCTGCCATGCAGGGATTCATAAAATGACTAAGAGATATATTTTACTGCAGGTACTCAAAACTAATTCAGGTTGACCTGCTGTAACTCTACTTGAATGCCAACTGACTGCAATGCACTTGCTTCCTTTGGTTGCAATCCGCTTTCGCAAAAGATGAGTATGAGATCAGAATCCTGTTCTGCTGAGTTGGCCTGAGACTTTTCCATGTACTTGATTAAATATTTGGGAATGATTGGACCAAATGTGCAGCATAATGGGGTTTCCTCTTGTAAGCATGCATTGGAAATGTCACTATACTTGACTTTGCTGTGTCCAACTATATTGAGGCTCACAAACATCTGAAATTGGGGGAACGATGGAAAAGAGAGGGTGAGGTGGAGGAGAGAGGCAGGAACTATCCAATACCATGTCAATGCTGTTGTGCTGTGTTCACCTGTGCACTTTACTTTTTACAGTATACCATTTTTAGTGGGGCAAATTATTGTGCTCTCCATATGCCTCTGTGAATCTAACCTCTTCTTACTGTGTTGATTCCACATGTGCCAGTTGCCCTTGGGCATCCCACCCACATGATCAGTATTCACGTGTGACCCTTGGCAGTGAATTTCGACTGTGGAAGCTTTCCTCCCTAACTCTGGAAGGCTAACTGATTCTGCCTTGCAGCCTCAGCCTCAACACCTGGTCAGTAAAGCTGCAGCTCCATCCATTACACCATCAGGGCTGTCAGAAAAAAAAATATTTTCATCATAATATTTAAATTTACCACAGGGCGAAAGACATTCCATTAGCATTTTCATGCCAATGCACTGAAGTCTGCAGTGCGTGCTGCAAGTTGCAGTACTATTACAATTTCAGGCCTTGAATCAAATTGCAGCTCCTAGTGAAAGCAAAATGGATTGCAAAGCAATCATAGGTGAACAGGGCAGGTCTCTCCAATAATTTCTCGTAGCTATGGCAACCTTTAGACTCTGCTGAAACAGCATACAAAGCTTAAAGAAAAAATTAGTTGCAAGTTGGGAACTGATGAATGGATTTTAGGTTTATTACTCAGGATTCCCTAAATTGTATGTAGATTTATACATAACCCACCTTCTCTCCTCCAACTCCCCACCCCCCACCACCCTCCTTCTCCACCCATCACTAGCCCTGAGTATTTTGAGGTGACTATTAAAAAGTGCTCAAAGAAGAAACTAAAATATTTACTTAAATACAATACCATTGCCCAACGAGTACAGTTTGTCTATGCAAAAGCAGTATAGATACTGCCAATAGAATTTGTATTTCTGACCCAATATCATTTGTTAAGTGGTCAGTTTAGTTGGGGTCATTCATTCTCTTCTATCAAAGTTCCACATTAGTCAGTTCCATTCTTCTAATTCCCCCTTCCAGTTTTGTTATTCCAACAATTTTTACTTCTCCTCTTGATGAGGGTGCATTTTCTTCACTAAAGTGTCGGAAGGCCATTTAATTTCCAAGTTGAAGTTTTTTTTTTACTTTGCTGTGTTTTCTTTCTGGTGTAGATTTCTTTGATATAATTTATTGAAATTTTCTTAAATGCAATTTCACTTAGAAAAATGTGCTCATCTCTGTGTGATCAGACTAGGGTTCAATTGCTTTCTGTTTCTTGAGGAAGGAGTAATTCAGACTAGGCTTAATCAAAAATGAGTGAGTTGAATATTGAATATTCTTATATTGCTAATAGATATAGTATGTTAGTGATGTTCATGCCGCTTTGCAACTTTTTGGGTGCTGGAGATTTGAGCATCATCCTTTAAAATTGCCAACTGACTGCAATGCACTTGCTGTAGAGAGTTAAAAAACTAATCTCGCTATTTGGTTCATTGTGGAGTCCATGGATTATTTCAAAAGGGAATGAAATCAATACTTAAAAACATTAACTTTAATAATAATAATAATAATCCTTGCATTTGATATAGCACTTTCACGTCGGGGGGACGTCCCAAAGCGCTTCACAGAACACACTGTAAAGTGAATTGACTGTATATTTGTGGGCGAACGCGGCAGACAATTGCGCACAGCAATGTCCCACAAACAGTCGTAGATTGAAAATGACCAATTTTTATTATTGTTTTTGGTTTTTGGAGGGATTATTATTAGGCGTGTGGAGTAAGGAAACTTGCCCAAGGTTTCACCCTGTCTGGAATTGGAATTTAAAGTGGATGAAGAGTGAACAGGAAAGTAGGATTAAACCAGGTGGTTCCTAGAAAATAAACATTTTTGTTTTGTACCATTCTATGTTTGTAAAGCTTTACTAAAGCTACTTGCATCTACTGTGCTGTAATATAGAGCAAAACAAAGGGACCCCGTTGTAATACCGAAGCTGAGCCCATCAAATAAGACCCCATGTTATAATGTGACACATTATCGTTAGCCGCTAGCCAGCACCTCTGGGGTTGTCAGGGTCGCTCTGATGACATTGAGCTCCACTGTGCCTGCACATTGTGAACAGAAAGTCGGCCGGACAGCAGTGATTGATCTCATGAACATTGCTGGGGTTAACACTGATGTCTGTCATGCAGGAAGCTGGTCAGTCAGCAGCAGTGGGAAGTATAACACAGCTCAGCATATTGTGTACCTATGGTGTGCCCACGCCATACTGAAGCGTGCTATAACGGGGTCAGATTGCAATGTGCTATTTGTTTTCATGTCTCTGCCTTAATTCTGGTTTGGTGAGAAATCACACAATTTGTGGTTTCAGCTACTTGAAATCAAATCCATAGAGAAGGTGACCTCATAGAATGTTTGTTACTGTTTGATCGATATCAATCTTTTAATACTGAGGTAGTGTGTATGACCAATATTCTGGTCTAAATTAGTGTAGTACAAAAACCCACTGAGAAAGCGATACGTTATATACAATTACATCACTGAAATATTCTGTATTAAAATATCTAGTTGCTTTTGATGTAACTGTTTGATTCCTGGGCTACTGAATAAATTGTCCCAACCAACTGAACTACTTTTCTAATAATTAAGAAATTACAGGACATTTTGGCAAAAAAAACTTTTAGATTCCACAAACTTTGTAGTAATTAAGTGAAATAAAAGTACATCAATCGTAACATCTAATTTAGAAAGGGAAAATAATGGGATTAAAAGTCCTTCAGGAAAATGGCCTGTTTGTCAGCGTGAACTGCTCCTTGAATATCACTAGTTTATCTATTATGAAACTTGTGATGACTGTCATACTCAGTAAATTACCATGTAGGTAAACCTGCTAGAGCCAGTACTTTGCCTTTTTGGAGATGAAATGGGGTTGATTGCAAACGCATACCTTTCGACAACATTCTTATTTTAGGTTTTTCACTAGTTTTGTCTTTCTCTCTGTTTTTATCCTTGTCCTTCTCTTTCTCCAATTCCTCTTTATTACTTTTATCATCATCTTGAAAGCTTGGAGAGCTGGTGAGTTGCAGCTGAATTGAATCCTGGAACACAAAAATGACTAAGAAATAATATTTCCTTTCATCTGTAAAATTACCGGCTGTACCATTCATACTTGTAATCAATTATTTTTAATGCACACATAATCCATTTGAATTATCTTCCCCAAAATTACTTTTGAGGAATGTTCACAGTATATCTGAAAGTACAGCCACACTGTCACAAAACAAATTGAAAATTAAAGCACACATTTCAAATTACAGTTTATAATTGAGGAACAAATGGGTCTAATGCCCCCATTTTTAAATATATTTTCTTATGCATATCATAACATGAAAAGGTTTTGCATTTCAGAGAAAAAGCGCTTGATTTTATAATGTTAACTTTCATTCTTCAGATAGCAGCAGGTGTTTACAGCTCAAATCAAAGCATCCCACCGAAACAACAACTAGCCTTGCTGGCAGCCCACAGTATGAATAGAATGCTCCCTCAAAGTGCGTTTGCTTTTCAAACCACGAGTCCTGTTGTCAGTACAGATATAAAAAACTTGCACATTAAAAAAAGTATCCTAAAAATCAATGATATGCAATTGTCCAGATATAACTGAACAGAGTATGGTGAAAATACATCAACAAGTACAGATTCTTGCTTCTCTTGTTCTTTGGAATACAAAAAGTACATTCCATCTCAAAGATTGTATTGCAAACAAACTCCTCCGAATTTCCATCAATGTACAATATAAGACATATAAGAGAGATTTTAATATTGACATAATGTAAACGTGAAAGAAGAAAACCAAGATTAATATTTGTAACAGATATTAGCACAAGGATATGCAGTGTACTGATTGCATTTCCATGTTTTTGTAATGTTAGTGGTTTGGTTCATCTGCACATCTCCTGTGGTTTTGAGCTAGGTGAAGAGGGTTGCAACTGCGACCATTGTGATGTTGTAAACTTGATTTCAGTCCAATTGTAAAACAATTTTAGCTTTTTGGTTTAAAACAAAGTTTTCTTCATTTCCGTCGTCCCTGGAATGATGGATGGCTTGGATCACGTCCACATGGATGATATTGTTGTTATTTCCCTTTCAGTCTTCTTCCTCTTCCCTTCCTTTGCCAAACACCTTTCATTCACCTGCACCTGGCAAGGTCATCAGCCTTTGCCACACAGATCAGCAGAAGCTGGGCTTTTAACCTGAATCCCCTTAGTCCTTGCACAGTAAATAAACAAGTATGTTACCAAGCTATCGAGTGAAGCATTTTAATAAATTATGAAGCTATACATCAAATTTTGTTTCTCCCTCTCATTAACCCCTCCCTCCCAACCAAACAGTTCCTTTAGATACTGCATGTATTAAGATTGATTTTTAGTCTGAAATTATTTTAGGCAATTCCAAATCACCTGGTAGTCTGAAGAGATTATGTGAAACTTAGGCCCCACTTAAATGGAAAGTAGGGGAAAAAGTATTTGAGACACTGCCAACATCTGTAATATCAGAGAAAGACAATGCTACATGTATTACAAAACAAGTTAAATCTTCTGGTACTGATGCAGATAATCCAATAACTACAGCTACAAAATAAAAAAAATTAATTGCCAGTGCTGATTTTGGCTGGTAACATCTTAGTGGCTCAAGCGCTCAAGTCTTCTCCACATTTGGACATTTCTGTACTGGTATATTTCAGTGTTACCACTACCTCATTTTGGGAGCCAAGATGAAACAATGGCTCAAAAGTAAGAAAGTATTGCTCAGAGACATAGCTTCAGGATAAGCAGTTCATTCTTTTACATAGTGCTTCTCTCCAAGTTCTGAAGCGTGGCTGATTAAGCCGCAATAGAACACAAATGCTTCAGCTATAATGAAAGATATGTGTAAGAAATGAAATTCCAAATTTAAATAAACAAGCAATGCATTGCTGACCTACCATTGGGTGTAAAACAATGAACTTATATCATTGTTTGTGGAATATGTTTTATAGCACTATAACTTTCAAGTTTAGAAACACAGTACTTTTCTTTGTTTAAAACTTTAGGTGCAAAGCCTCGCTTTAGAAAAGTTCACATTTAATACTTTTCTTACACAAAACTTTGTGTTGTAGTCGTGTTCAAATCTTCCTCAAAGTAGTCCCAAATAACCATTTAGATTGCTTTCAATTCCTCCCATGCTATCTACGGAACGGTGGCTTCATGCTTGTGCAGAATTGTGGAGACTTATGATTCTTAAGGGTAAAAGCTTCCAACATCGCAGATAGAAATCTAATTCTTTCCCCTAACATTATAATACAAAATGCAATTTCAGGTAGAAATTGCAAAGCACCAAAGCACAACCCATGTTTTATTGCATTCATGAACTGAAAACATCAACTTCTATTAGACAACAAATGTCCTGAGCCTAGACTTTGTTCTGCATTATGGCACTCATTAGATATAAATTATAAGCTTTATCGATGGAATTTATTAACATAATGTTTCGCAATCCAACTTATTTTGTAACATTTCTTTTCATTACTGATGGGCAAAGGATAGTTTTACTATAGGCCAAAAATTTACAGGGTAGCGATTAGCATTCTTAGGCCTTTAGAACAAGTGAGTAGGAATTACTAAGTTTCCAAAATTCAAGTCCTTGTTTATTACTTTAAATATTGTAAAAAAGGTGAAAGAATAATAATCCTTGCATTTGATATAGCGCTTTTTCACGTCTTCTAGACATCTCAAAGCACTTCAAAGAATGTACTGTAAAGTGAATTGAAGTGACCAATTTATTATTGTTTTTTTTCTTGAGGGATTATTGTCAGGCGTGTGGAGTAAGGAAACTTGCCCAAGGTATTGCCCTGCCTGGAATCAAACCCAGGTTTCCCGCTTGCGAGGCGAGCACTCTAATCACTGAGCTAGAGGTCTCCACAATTCCAAAAGAGCAACCTGGAAAGAATTCCAGGCTGCTCTTTTCATTTGAGAAAGTGACAACTGGCAGCATTTAAAATGTGTGCATCCATAACCATAGAGGTGCCTGTTCCTCCTGGAAGTGGAGAAAGCAGGCAATATTCTGGTTAGTACATCCAGCAGCATAAGCAGCCTCTCACCAGCAAATTTGCCTAAGTCCCACACTGGAACCCGAACACGATGGAGGTAAAGCGAGTCATTGCTCAGCAAACAGTTATTGGCTGTGAAAATTAAGAGATTATTGGAAGATTACTAAAAAGAATCAAGACATTTTGTATCACTATACTTCATTCATGGATTTCAGGCCAAATAGGATTTTCTTTAAAAAGTCTCCTTTGACAAAACTAAAGCGACGCACTTCTGCTGGAAGCTTTGCAGAAATTTAGAGATTTTCAATGAGTTTCACTCACATTAATCTACCAGTCTCAAAGGTAAATTGGATGGCTTGGGTCTATATATGTATGTGTATATATATATAAATAAAAAGAGTTAGATGAGATTTCTCTCAGAAAATAGCAAATTGGCAGATGTTAAGTTTATTCATAAGCCTAACAAGTCTTCCCTGAAAACCACCTCGCTGTTGGTATTAAAAGCAGGGTCACGACATCACCAGTACCATGGAACACTCATTGTAAAACACTAGTTTATAAAGAGCCTTGCTTTTTTTTAAAAAAATTCTTAGTTACTCAATGTTACCAAAAGAATGCCAAGTGAAGCTCTTAATGCAGTGTTTTTACAATAATATTCCAAAATGGTATACGGGTAAGATTGCAAATGCAAGTTATTATAATATTAAAGGGAAAAAGTAACAAAGACTGCAATGTTTCCCCTAAACAGGCAAATAATATTTGCTTTTGATATATCATTGCATCTTATTCAAAATATGTGAAAGGACTTTGTACAATCAGTTACTCTTGAATTAAATTGACGGAAATGTAGGTAAATGCAGCAGCTAATCTGAGCCAATAATTGTCCACAATCCACAAAAGGATTAATCTGTTTTTTGTTGACATTGAAAAGCAGAAAATATTAGCTAGCACACTGGGACAACTCTCTGCTCCTCTTGGACTATATACCATGGTATCTTTAACGTCCATCTCAGTTTATCATCTCAGTAAAGTATTTTAAAAATGCTTTATTAGGCAATTCTGGTAACATTTGGTAACTAAGATTTTTTTTAAAAAAAGACCGTTTATAAACTGTTAAGCAGTACCTGTAATCATGCACCACTGCCTCATTTCTGTACTACAGTGTACTACATTACGACTTTAAATCTTGGTTGGATTTGTAAAATTTATATTTTCAGGTAGCACTTTGGAGCATCATAACATGTTAAGATGGAAGTGTGTGTTCACAATCATCCACATGCTAAATTCCCATTCTTAACCAGACTGGGATTTTTTTTTTAATTCTCCTTAATTATACATGTATTACTAATGGAGGGAGAATACAGTACTCAGAAAACAGTGGGTAGTCTTCATATTTAAAATGAAACATTTGCACTCAGTTCAGTCTTGCTGTTGGGTTTCCAAATCACAATAATTCCTGCAGTAATTAATGACGTGGAATTTATCATTAGTGACAGAGGGTTGTCTAGCTTCTAACCATCTTCATTCTCTGCTGGTAATTTTTAAAGTGTTTTAATAGCATTCTCACCTGCCCATTCTCCTAGAACCTTATACCTTCTTTGTTCTTCGAAATCAGGGGAAAAAAGGGAAAGTTGGCAGCCAAGGTAAGGTTGGACTTCTACCAGTAGATTACAGTTCCTTGAGATCAGATAGCAGGAAACATACCCAGGCACTGACACATCAGAGTTTTTAGAGCAAAGATCTAAGTGATTAAAATGATTGTGTGAAGTGCTTTCAAATTATTTCAATGTGATACGGTGGTATTACCAATGAGAACAGCATCAACATTCATTTGGAGAATAAAGTTCCAAATTAAGTATTTCTACCTCCCAAAGACCTTTACGAAAAGGACAGTTTTCACTACCTTTATATGAGAGGATGTGTTCAATTTATCCAGTTCCAAAAACAGCCTCGGGACACCTAAAAAAAGTTTTCTGAATAATGTATGACCAAGTCCACCTCCAGTTATTCACCTGAACTGGCATTACACCATTCATATCACTATTTTCTCTTCTCTCTGTTTGGATGAAGGGCACCTAATGCGTGCTATCATCTGAACAAGTCCTTTACAGGTGAGACACTCAGTAATACAGGTCTGCCAAAGCTTGGGTTGGGCCTACACAAACTGGAACCTCCTGCAAGGCTAAGGACATACAAAACAAAGGTTTAACATTGTTTTGAGGAAGAACAAGAATACGTTGTGCGCAAAGTTTATCCCCCCAGATGATAGTATCCTTTTGTTCTCAAATGACGTACTGTTTGTGGAATAAAATATTCGGGAACCACAGACATATACTATACTGTGGGGAGTTTCTAATCACCCCACAAGCTTTGGGTCACAGCACATAGATCCCTGAGCCAGGGTTGGCAGGAAGGGAAGACAAGTTGGGCTCGCCTACTACAGATAGTGCCCATCTACCAGGAAATGTACAATGCAAGTCAAATCGACTCAATCACAAATGTTCAAAAACATTGTTGAATTTCTCCCTTCTTTAATAACTACCCGTTGGATGGCAACTTCATCCTGTTTCAAGAACACACTCAAGCAAAATGCTTTAGTCTGGTCAAACATGATACGGAAATTAGACAAAGGTTTCGACTGTGGACATTCAATTCTAAAGAGGTGAAAAGCATGTTTGAGCAATAAAATGATTTCCGTGCTTATAATAGTTATTTAAAGATAAATTAAGTTTTTTTTTTAAATGTGGTCATACAAACATAACCTGAATTTAATTTATTTACGTGTTATACTTGCTCCCCCCTACCTCTGTGACCTCCTAACCCCCTACCAACCTGTCTGCTCCATCCACTCAATGGGCTTCGGCCTGCTTCACGTCCCCCGCCTCGCCCGCCTCACCATTGGCGGGCAAGCCCTCAGCCACTCTACCCCCACCCTCTGGATCTCCATCCCGCAGTCCCTCCACCTTACACCCTCCCTTGCCTCCTTCAAGACCCTTCTCAAAGCCCGTCTCTTCAAGCGTGCCTTCGATCACCCTCCTTCTCCCCCTGCCCTCCACCCTCCCCGATCCCGACCCCCAGCTCAGGTCCGAAACATTGCCTGTCCAGCACCTTGGGACGTCCTCCTGACGTGAAAGGCACTATACAAATGTAATTTTGTTGTATTTAATTTAAGGATCTTGAAAATATACTTAGGGAGTTACATTCTTGAGGTAACCAGTTTTCACCAATTACATAAATTCTGCAGGCCACAAATCTCTAGTTGATTTTTCAATTAATGAAAGATCCAAAAAAATGTTACAAAATGGAGCAGGCTAGATGCAGGACACTTGAAAGGCTGTAAAAGAACTTGGAAAGAAATGAGATAAATCGATAAGTAGTGGTAAAGTGTTGCCAGCTTTGGATGTTAAAAGGTTGTAGATTGTAGTAGGAAGAAAAGCCACTTCACAACTTTGAGGTTCTGGGAAAGAATAAGAGTAGTTTTCGATTTAACATGCTTTAGATTGGAAATAATGAGTGTAACAGCAGAGCAACCACACGACTCTTACCCACAATTCTTGGCAGGAGATTCAGCAAAGACTTATTTTTGGGGAGTGCAATTGGTTAAAGCACTATATCGAGGAGAGTAATGATGTAATGCTAGCATTCTTAAAGTCTCAAAGTCTTCAATCATTAAGCACTGTTACATAATGCAATGAAAGTTGAGAGATCTCTGAATCAATGACAAATTGATCTATTCGCTAGTAGAGATAGCTTACTTAGTCTAAAAAGATGATCAACTTTATCTTTTATATAAACTTAGGCGTCAAAAAGTCTGATTAAAAAAAAGCCACAGCAAACCATGTCTAGGTAAATTTGAAAAAGTCCACTGGGCTTTTGAGATTAGAATTTTTTCTTAGTATTTTAGAGCGTGCACATTTTGAATAATTCTTAAATTCAGCCTTACATTTGAAGTTCGACATTAACCCTTTTCTAGCTAATGATCTGGCTATATTGCTGGGGCTATGCTGCATGGTTGGAGGTGCATCCTTCACATAATAATAAATAATAATAATCCTTGCATTCGATATAGTGCCTTATCACATTTTTGAGACGTCTCAAAGCGCTTCACAGAATATACTGTAAAGTGAATTGACTCTATATTTAGTGGGTGAAACACGGCAGCCAATTGAGCACAGCAGTGTCCCACAAACAGTTGTGGATCAAGTGACCAATTTATTATTTTTTTTTGGAAGGAATTATTACCCCCGAACTGCAATCCACCAATCGACTAAACAACCAGGTTCCTACTTACTGCTAGGTAAACAAAGGCGTGGAGTAAGGAATCGTGCCCAACATTTCGCCCTGCCAGGAATCGAACCCAGGCATCTCGCTTGTGAGGTGAGTGCTCTGGCCACTGAGCTACAGGACTCTAATCAGACATGAGACATTAAACCGAGGTCCCGTGTGCCTGTCCAGGTAGATGTTATGTTATCCCATGGCATTACTCGTAAAGAGAAGAATTTCTTCCCATGTCCTGACCAACAATCCCCCAAATAAAACTGATGATTAATTTCATGGCTGTTTGTGAGATATTGCTGCCGGGATCGCCTACACATACACAGTTTATTTTATTGTATATCCTGTGAAGCACTTTGAGGCAGCTTCCCGACATGAAAGGTGCTATATCAAATGTAAGTATTATTATTATACTGTATTTTAAAATAAACATTTGTGGCCACACAGTCATTTTTTCATCATAAGCAAACCCTCTCGAATTATTCAAATTGTGTCTTGTTTAAAAAGATAGTGTGGCTGCAAAAGTATTGGCAATAGCTTTTTTGTGCTAATGTTTTCCCTCCTCTTCATGTCTCCTGAAGGTGTTGATTGTTTGTTGGGGTAAAATTCCAAAGAATTCCACATTCCACCCACGTAGCAGTCTTTATATGAGAGTGTGGACAGTGAGGTTATTCACTTAAGAGTACATCACAGTTGGGCTGGTCTGTATGGGTTAGATATTCACCAGGCTGGGAATTTGCCTATTGGAGGAGCTGTCAAGACCATTTAATTATTTCAATTTTGTTTCGTACATTACCTTGAACAGAAAATAAAGAATAAATGTATCTGAAAACATCCTTCTTCCATCAAATGTTCCGATATGGGATGTTGGCATGATTCATTTTGATTTACTGTTCTACTCATGTTATTTTTTTAGGAGATATTTATCATTATTCTCAGGTAAATTTAATGCAAAATCAGATCCATACATTTACACCAATAAGTTCCTTACCAGTCACTGCAGTACATACAACCAAGCCAACTAAAGGTGGCATTCTTTAAAACTGCCTGGACTCCAGGAGGAAGACTTTGGAGAATAACATTTGTACTGACATTTAAAAGGGGATTCCTTTGAAGTTGTTAATTCTTCATTTCTGATCTATGAAGCTATTGCTCATTTGTCTTTTGTATGTGAACATTTAAGAACTCTGCTGCAGAGAGAAACTAGCTGTCACCAAGCCGCTTACAAATAGGCATTCAAAGAATTAAATGCATCCATCATTTTTGATGAGTCTTTATTTACGAAAAATGAGAAACCTCAATGACCCTTTATATCATGATTTACATTGAAGTCCCGAGTACCAAATTCTCAATGATCTGTAGGGTAGTTAATCATCTAATGCTAATTTCTCTCTACATTAGTCAAAACAATATGTCCAAAACAAAATCACTTACATTGTGCTGAAAAAAGCAACTGTGAACTTTGCAAATCAGGCACAAAACAAACACCGCCATACACAAAGATAACTTAAGAAAGCACATCAAAAGTCTTACTTCAGACTAGTAATGTTGGTGCTCAGAGAATACACAGACCCAAGCGCTTCCAGCAAGTCCGTTTTCAAAAAGAAATCCAAGTTGGAGAAGACAAAGATACTTAACACGTTTGATGACAATTTGAGATAATATTGAAAGAGACAACATATTGATGAAAAATCATTCTGCAAACCATTTTTTCCATTTATTGCAAAATTAGGTAAATTGTGCCAATGCATCACTGCATCGGTTAGGTACGATGCCTTTGTGATGAAGGTGCATGGCTCTTCTCTCTGCCAAACAAAATAAAAGGTTTGACCAACAGTTTTTCATTAGATAGTGTGCTTTTGATCAAAAAATCTTTGAGGTGATAAATCTCAACAGTTTTTCTTCAGAAGCATTCTCATATCTGACGAGAGGATATCACTTAGCAAATTTGAGAGCATTCAATTACGGAACTCACAGTTTACAATTGTTGTGGTCCGACTGACTATTGACAACATGTTAATGTCCACTGGCAACCAAGTAACGACATTGGAGAAGTTCAATTCATATTTTTTTAAGAACAATATTTAAATGACAAATAGACATTTTAAGAAAAGAATGCTGGATATACATTTTTCAAAGAATCCGCAGAGGTTGATGAAATCAGATAAGAAATCAGACTTGTTGCAAATCCAACAGTCTAAATTACAAGACATCAGTTACAGACCCACAAGAACACACCAACAGTTTTCAGCACTTAAGAAGACACTCATTTCATAATCAAAGTAAGGCAATGAGACTAATGCAAACAAACAGATGATAGGACAGAACCAAAGTGCGGACAGGTCAAACTTTGGGACTATGGATTATATGTGTGAAGACTACAATTCAATTTGCCACGGGAATACAAGCCATACCTGATTTTCTTGGGTGGCTTCTGTTGCCAGAGGCAGAGATGACTCTTCACAAACAGCAAGACTCCGCACGAGTTTACCTTTGGCTCCTGACTGAGAGGCACACAACAAAAATGTCATTGCCTGATTACTCATAAGATTTTAATAGTGCTCCTTAATATATGACTAATAGAGAAACGACTACATATCAGCCGAGTCAAAAGCCAATATACATTAAATAGCAAAGCCTTATTTCATCTGGTAGTGCATTTGCTGTTTCTTGAAAAAGCACTCATCATTCTGAATACATTACAGCAAGCAAACTGTATGACATTAAAATACAGCTAGCATTTTTAGTTCAATTACAGTGCAGTAACAAGGATTTTCTTTAAAAAATGAGAATGAATAAATATCTAAAATCAAAATTCTGACATCAAACCTTGCCTGGGATACAATCAAGTGTACAGCACACAGAAACTAACAGGATATAGTACATAACAGGTTACTTTGTAAACCCACCGACTCCAAAACTAATACCAACAGTAAATTCACATTTAACAGAAAATGACACAATCAAGCTTCAAAGCTGAAATTTGCACCTTAAATTTTTTGAGGTTCATTTTCTAATAACTAGAATGACATTAGAATTTCTTAAAGTCTTTGGCAGCCAATTGTAACACGTAAATCCTAAAAAGAAAGTTAATTTCCCACAAGTCAATGTTTTATCATCAGAACATTGGATAATATGCTATAAATTGTATTTAAGTCCACATTTGTTCAAGTGGAATAATAAAGCTCAATCTCAAATCATTATATCTCTTTTTTTTTAAATGGGTTACTTCTCTAAAAAATGACATTTATTTGCTCACTGTACAATATTAAACAGTAAAAGTGAAGGTGATTAATTTACTTCGGGCAAAAGGCTTTTATTTAATAAAATTAGGTTTCAGTACCATCAAGCTGAAGAATTAATTTGATATACTCTTCGAGTTTTAAATTATACTACTGCATTCTTTTCTCTGCATTAATAAGTTAAACATACCTCATTTGACACATTAATATTATTATTTGTTATTAATATCAATAATAATTTATTATTAGTTTAACTTTGCTCAAACACCAACAATATAAACGCTGAACACAATCTGCCTGATTTACTGAATGAGAAGATCTACGAAAGGAGTTGTATTATAAAAAGCCTGGGAATCAGATTTTATTTGAGACAATTTAATTTACATTTATCAAGAATTTTCAACAGTTTTAAAAAAACGACAATCTCCCTTTTTTGCTCCATTCTTCCGTTTAATTCTTTTTCTGTTTTGAGAAAAGGTCACCTCACCTCTTACTATTTACATCACATTCTCACAGAGGGGCTTATAGAATCTTGAGACTTTACAGCACAGATGGAGCCCATCAAATTTGTGTCAGCTCTCTGAAAGAGCTACTCATTGAGTCCCACTATGTAAACAAATAATTTCTACTCATACACCAATAGTTTACTTCCAATCCCAAATTATAAAGGTATTCTAATGCTTCTGTTGTTCAGACCATGATCTACAGTATACATGGTCAACTTTCAGATGCTTACCTAAAATAAACAAGGAAATTCATTAACAAATACTGTGTTTCAAAGAAGAAAATAACATATTCTTGTCTTCACGTTCCACAGGTGAAAAATAACCATCAGAGGCACATCACATGCCACTGCAACAATTTTTTATGAGTTAATGTAAAAAGATATTGCAAAACTTGTTCCAGTGTAGTGTTCCTTTAAAAACTGCACAATAGCTTTGCCAAAGATGTGCATAGTGGCAAAGCAATTTAAGAAAAGCACAAGAGACTGCGACACACATACAGTTCTGAAAAATGACTGCGATTTAAGCTTGCAAGAGAATGGCATGATATCATTTTAAACCTATGTCCACTGAGATCAATTTCAATATAAATGTTGTTTGACAGATTCATGCCACTTTACACGTTACAATCACAATACCAATTAAAAAATCATTGATGTATCAAATTATAAATTTTACTAGCAGTGTTAAAACATATAGGTGAGATTTTTTTTCTCTCAATAGGAATTTATCGCAGATGATATGTTGCCAGAGTTACTCTCCAGCCTGTTGTGAAAAATCCCGAACATTAATCTTGAGTAACTTGGCGGGGGGGGCGGGGGGAGTGGAGGGTGGTTAAGGAACTGTTAGATGAACTATGTTTGCTAACATTTGTATCTATAATCCAAACCAATATATTTCAATCTTAATTTGCACCGTGTATAGCAAATTGTAAAACCTCTACAGAATAGAAATACCAGATTTACCAACCAAAATCATTTTGGAAGCCTAACAGAATAACATAAGTATTCTTCCAATAGATTTCTATTTACCCACAAAAGATGTATCTACCACCATTTGTTCCTAACTAACATTTTATCCCCAAAACAGTTTATTCTCAACTTTTAATAATTCAAGTACGTATAAAAGCTAAATCTGGCATTCTTGATTTGCGTAGTGAAGTGTATTACCCCAACAGCATGATTAAAACAAACCGCTTCTAAATCGTTCCCTACATTATCTCTATTCAACACTGGAAACATTTTTTAAAATTTTATTCAGATTTTTTAGTTATTCCTTCTGAAATTCAAGTTTGTTTTTAAAAAAATTAAACTTAGCTTTAACCATTTCAGACTTTGAAATTATACATTTTTTGTGAGCACTACTCACAGGAAAATGTGATGTTAAATCTCAAGCTTAATGAATTATTTCTTTTCAGTGGGAACTCTTTCTACCACAGTTAATTTCACTGTCAAATGATTTACTCCCGGTGCCGTCTCTGGAGTTTCTTATGAATTATCTTATTTGAAGCTTGAATGTGACTTTCAATAAACTCATACAAAGAAAGACATGAAATGCTTTGGCACAACACAAGCACAACATGAAAGCACAATACTATTTTTCACACAAAACACTTGGGCTTCTAAGACTGAACACTTCACCAAACTGTCCAACATATGACACAATTTCACTGCGACACGCAAGAATAATCACATTGACATTACTTTATCCTATCATTTCAGCTTTGACATGCCTCCATACAGAAGGTGGCCCCTACCTTTGCTCTTTTTCTCTGCTGCCCCTGGTTTGCTCGTTTCTGTGCAGCAAATGACAAACAGATATCATTCGGTGGACAAAGATGATAAAAAAATTAGAAACGTCATGACTTAATGATAGGAATCATTTTTTTCAATAAGAAGCTGCTGTACATTGTCATCGGTTAATGTGGCGCCATTTGAAATCTGCTCTACGAGATGAAGCCCAGCGCAGCACAATCAGGTTAGTCAGACTTGGCCTTCAGGAAGCCAGTTCAAAATAGTTTGTTGACAGCTTCATTACATTTTTAAAATCATCAAAATAAAAGCATTTCAATCAGTTCAAAATCTGATCATATCAAATGTCCGGTGACTACCCACCTTGCTTTCCCTTGTCATCAAAGAAAAAAGTATTTGACAGATCAACATTTAGAAGAGTGGTCTTCATTATAACACTGCCAATAGAAAGGCCACTGTATAAACAAATGATGAGTTTGTGCCTCACTTGTAAGAGCAGATCAAACTGATAACTAAACTCAGCACACAAGATGAAACACATACAGACAAAGTGAAAAGATCCAGTATCGTTGTTAGATTTAAGAACCATACAGAACCCAGACAGCCAACCACCCGTATTCTATGTGTCACCTTACTTGATAGTCAGCCTTTGTGTCATTTGATTTATCCTCTTTCTCTTCTGCCTCCAAGCTTTCAGTTCTAATGATGCACGTCTCTGGAGAGGATGGAGAAGTTTCAGTCTCTTGCTCATTTCCAGCTTCCTCCACTGTTTCATGGTTCGATACGCCTTTTTCAGACATTCTCACAGAAAGGAATTACACAAGTAGAAGATGCAGTGACCTGCAGGGTCAAAACATCAAAACACATTTTATTCCCAGAATGAGTCGCTTCATTTCTTTCTGACATTCATCCTGTAGAAAATGAATATTGCAGTTAGCTACTGTTTACTTTGAAACACATTCCAATGTGCTCCACAGTACAAATTCAACATTTCATAATTCAATTCCAAATGGAATAATTCAAATGCATATAAAAGCCAAATTTGATATTCTTAACCTGCATGGTCAATATGCGTAGCCATCAAACTGACAGCTCCATTATTAAAACCATAAGCCTCATCCCAAATCCCTTGTTAACTTCATACCTACGAAAAGCTAGCAAGAAAAATCTTCAGGTAACTTAAATGAAGAAATGCTAATGTCAATGCATTTACTTAGGGAGCTCCACAGAAAATTAAAACCTCTTTTCACTCTCACTGATTGATTCCAAAATGAATGTGATGAATAATTTAGGATGACGGCCACAAGTTATGGACAAGATCAAATCAAAAAATTGCTCAGCCAAATCGATTCCTGAACGCATGAACATTAAAAATAGAAAGCACCTTCACCAAACACACAGGAGCTGGTACCTTTGTTTTAACATTGAACTACCCGATCATTTGTCTCAGTTATCCTCAGGAGCAAAATTCCCACAGATGCTAGACCATATGAAAAACTCAACAGGATATACTGTACACCAGCTGAAGTGTTATGGGCAGGAGGCGCAGTAAGATCTGAAGCGGAAAGTGTTGAGAAAGAATACTCCAGTGCCAAAAAATGTAGCAAGCAGAGGAAAATAAGCTGCCAGCTTTGTAATCTGCTTTTCTTGCTGCAAATACATTTGAATTTACGAAGCTTCTGCACAAACAATTATATAATCAGTGCAATATTAGTATAGGATAGCATGAATGTTACTGTCAAAAGGTTGTAATGAAGCCACAGTTTGCTCGGAGCATATGAAGCAATAAATGACCCATGCACGATTTCATATATGAATTTGTAGGACAACAAACACTTATTTCCTGATAAACCTCTATTAAACTGCATTCTTGGAATTGTGAATTTAGATTTGTTGTTGAGTGCTTATAATTTGGAAAGAATCCCCACTTTTAGAGGTGCCATATCACATCAAGTTAAAACATGACAAAGTACTTACAGGATTTATTGTCAAGCATCGTGAATGGTTTTGTAGCTATTTTGACACAGAGAGAGTACTGAGGTGAATAACCAATTTTATTTGGAGAATTCTTGGGCATAATAGCAGGAAAATATACTAGCTTGTACAATACAATACCAATCTGGTGATAATTTGAAGCTGAGCCTGAATAATGTGTGTGGCAGCACTTACAGTGCAAAATGAGTAGTCACCATATTAGAATAGGTTTGAGTAACTTCTGAACATTTAATGTTAAACATCAGAAATGGCATGTAAATCACAGCTCAGTTTTATGACTACGTATGGCATCCAAATTACCTAAAAAGTCATCTCTATGTGGGATCTTTAAATCGTTGTATCTCTGTCTGTGAAATGCAGAACATTAATAAATTATGTAATTTGTTTCCTTCAGAACACTCCACAATCAAAAATCTTGCGCTTTCATCAAAATCCTACGTTTGCAGACAGGGCTTTAAAGCACAGCTATGGTGTTTTAACACATCTGCACTCGACAAATGGAAGCAATTGTTTTGAATCTTACAATTATATAATTATTCTGGCAATTTGCTGATGTTTACATGACTTCATATAACGTTGAGTATGTAAAATGACCCTGATCTGCTTCTATTGCTTGGACCTGCTTAATATTGTCTAACTCAGCCACTGCTTTCCTCTCAGGCTGCCGTGACTCTAATCTATGCATTTATCACATCCAGGCTTGACTATGCTAACTCTCTGGTCGCTGGAGTTCCCAAGTCTTCCATCCACAAGCTGGAGATTATTCTGAACTCTGCCATTCATCTTCTTTCCCGAACAAAGCTCTGTCAGTCTAGGAACCCCATCCACGCCCAGCTTCATTGGCTTTCCATCCCCCAGTGGATTGAGTTCAAGATCCTCATCCTCATTTGCAAAGTCTTACAGCCTTGCTGACCCTACTTCTGAAATCTCCTCAAATCTTACCAACCCTCCAATTCCTTCGCTCAGCAAGCCTGCTTCATGTCTTCTGCTCTCCCATCCACAGTTGGGCTTTCAGCCTATCTGATCCTATTCTCTGGAACTCCAACCTGGAGTCCCTCTGACTCGCTCCCTTTCAAGGTCCATCTCAAGACATTCCTCTTGGACCACGCCTTATACCATCTGTCCCCTCCCTGCTCTCGGCTCAGGTGTCAAGGCAGGACTGTCAAGCAGCTTGGGACGTTCTCCCGATGTGAAAAGGCACTTTATAAATGTTATTTATAACATGTTATATTATTTGTTTTGACTGAATAAAGAACCAACATAAACATTTACCATGAAGTAAAATACAATAATGACAGGCAGTGCAACATTTCAAAGGAAGAATGCAAATGCTCATAATTCTGCAAATATATATTAATTGTGCTAAAATCAGCAACTACAGTTGTTGCAATGTCTGATTAACATCAGGGATTAATGTAAATGTCTCTGTATTGGTGATTTGATTGTGTGTGTGAGATAAATAGCTCAGAACAATAAGCAAAAAATCTGACTAAGTTGCATGCAAAATGAAGAATACTTAATTACAGATGTGTAGTGTGGAACGAGAGACACAGGAGGAAAGACAAAATAGTTGAAAGAGAGCATGAAAGTCCAGAGCCAGAATTTGAGTTTTGAGAGAGACATTAAGCACAAGTGAGAAAACATGTATGTGTACAAGGCAGTTAGGAAGCATATGTGAGAGAGCGAGAGAGAGAGAAAAACAGATGAGTGAAAGAGAACTCAGGAACAGAGAGGCAGAATGAAGGCATGTGTGAGCAAGACGACAATTGCAGGGACATATACATGTGAGTGGATAAAGAGTGAATGCATGCATAAGATAGAGCAGTTGCACATCACAAAGAAAGCACACACGTTTGAGACAGAGAGAACTATGAGAGAGAACAATAACTAGCGAAATTTTATAGAGGTCCATTCTGAGTCTCACAGTACTTACACTTACGTATAGCACTTATAAAAAAATGTAATACATTGATTAGACCAAGCATAACCAGGTGGTTTATATAAAGGGATTAATGGCATTCAAAATGATTAAGAAAAATTAAATGGGCTGTTGAAGGAAGGTTGATGACTTTTAGTGTTGATAGATGTGACGTTGTGTGCACAAGAAGGAGAAACGAGACATGTGTATCAGCGAATGGTGTCCATTGGGAAAGATAGAAAAGGAAAAGGTGAGAGTATTGATCACTCGCTGGAAAAATCCAAATAGTGTGCAACTCTTCATGCAATAATCAACAGTATAACAAAGGAATTGATGGTGAGATGTATAAAGGTAAACAGGAATAAGGATGAATAATCAAAGACTCTTATTGAGTACGGTAGCTCACTGCTGCTGGAAACATGGATGAATCATCCTTAAATTGCATCTGGTTAGAGTTGTAAATAATGGTTGGGAAGCTAATATAATCCACTGGAATTTGGACTGATTACTCTTGAGAATTTGGAAACATTACAGGGTGTTATTATATAACTTCTTGGAGATGTACTTCTGGATGGCTATCCCCTCAGGAGATTCTGTGGGTTTTTTTAAAGGCTTTGATGGATAAAGTGGACCTGGCCTGTGTAAGAAATAGGCCTTATAGGCTAAGTCAGTGGGGGCCAACCCATGAGAGCTTGCAAGCATTCGCACTTATCTAGGTAAGTCTGTGTTAAATCAATATTTTGTTTCCAGTGCAATTTATGGTGTGGCATTAAATTAAGAAATATTCAATCAAGAAAAAAATATTTGGTTAGTCACCAATGGGCAAAATGACCTTTCTTGTTCATATTTTACATTTCTCCCACAAACACACACAGAGTCACTCCACTTTACAATATATCTTGTGAAGCGTTTTGGGACATTCTCCCATTGTGAAAGTATTATTGTATGGATTATTATTGTTAAATTTTGGTATACATTTTAAAGGCCATTTGTCAAATTATCCACAGGGCTTTTTTCCAGTTCTCATTTAGAACAATGGACTCAATGTTGGGCAAAATACATTCAGAATGATATAAATGCTTTGGAAACATTTCCAAAAAGAGAAATAAAAATGATTGGGGGAGCAGAAGATTTAGGGCTCTCGGTATTTGAACTGTTTTTCGCCTTATGGTCCAGATCTTAAAGGTGATGAGAGGAGCAGTATATATAGTTACTTGATTTGGACCATAAGTCCATTCGTGGAGGTTGAGTCAACAACCTCGAAAAAAGACTGGAGCCCATTACAGGGCAATAGTCTGGGGGGGAATGAACTTCATTGCTTTTTTCTCATTCTACAATTTCTTATGAGAGAGAGAAAATGCACACATGGCCACAAGGTAGAGACAGAGAGAAAAAGGGTGTGTCCGATAATGAAACAAAGACAGCTAGAGCAGGTTTAAAGAGATCGAAAAACCTAGAGAAAGAGCATGATAAATGTAAGTGAATGATAGTCAGGCTAAATGAAATACTAGACATTCTTGAAGACAGTTCCTCACTACGCAACAAGGCTAGCCAAGATTATTATTTGCATGTACACCATTTGGAAGATGTACGGTCACTGTACTTTGCCAGTTGTCAAAGCTGCCTCAAAATCCTGCAGACTGATGCTGCTGGTACAATCTTTCCTCAAACATATTCTACTGAATATGCCATATAACTGGTACAAGATAGCTGATTTCTTTTGCAGATAAAATAGTATTGCATGGAATATATTTTGTGACCAACATGAAAACAAAATGGTTTAATACAGAAGATGGCTAGGCTTCAGTCAGATACTGTGGTTTGCGTGATGATCACTCACTTATTAAATTATAAAATGTCTGATCTGAATTAGACAAGACTAGTACTTGGAATTAAAACATTCAAGTGTGATCAACAGAATCGATTTACAGATACCACAATTCTGAAACCAGTAGTTTCAATATTTGCCAATATTTTAGGAGACATAGTCAACCTCAAAAAATTATAAAAGAATAATGCTGTGACCTAACAGTCCACAGTCCACCTTTATCAGATGAAGAATAATGTTTCCATTCAAATTCAGATTATTGCTGTATGGGCTTGATGTTGTTCTGTGGGTGGAAGGTTATAACTGGGCCTCTAAAGGGAAGCAAGAGATTATTATTATTATTATTTTTAGCCTTGTTCAGAATCCCAACAAGCCACCCTCTATAATTTCCATGTGTAGATGGGATGCATGGAATTCTCAGCTTGGTTTGGAAACTCTTAAGCATGGGTTTCCGTGTGTGTCAGACACGCGGCTGACCACCAAACTAGTATTGATTAAAGGTCTAGGGTTATTTTGAACAAGGAGGAAATCAGCCAAAATAACTTGGAGTAAAACATCACTTTTGAACAATTCCACTCGTTTGATTTAACAGTGCATTTTTGGACATTATGTCATTTTAATGTTCCTCTTTATAATGTGAGCTGGCTCTTACTTTTCTCCAGAGGAAAGTGGCTGCCATTCTTCAAAACCTCAACAACAGCAGCAACAACAAATTAAATTTGTATAGCACCTTTCACATCAGGAGGATGTCCCAAGACGCTGAACTGTCTCAGATTTGCACCCGAGCTGCGGGGTGGGATCAGGAAGGGTGGAGGGAGGGCAGGATGGGTGGGGGTAGTAGGATAAAATACAGCTTACATTTTGTATTTGAAAGGCTATTTTGAGTTCCAGATGAAACTCAATTACACAATGAGTTAAAAAGCCAGCATGATTTTTTAGCTGAGTTATTAAACATTTATATTCATTTACAGACAACTGTAGTGTAGGAATAAAAATCCAGAGCTAGAACTTCAAATGCAAAAAGCAGACTGCACACACCTCATCATAAATCTGTATTGCAAGCTTATAAACTAGAATGTTTTTGAAATGTTGCTACACCAAGCTTTAAACAATTTTATACAAGGCACGTTTTGCATGAATTCCCGAGATAAATAAAGCCCAATTTAGAAGTTGGTGATCAGACATATTCTAGATGGCAAAACAGTTATTAGAAATAAATCTACCTTTCGGGCGTCAATAGCTAATGGTGACCAATTTTGAGGGTGTCTTAATGTTTAAAACACTTTGTAGGATAAATGCTTTTATTAACTACTACATATAGAGATGCTTATAATGAATCATATTTGTAGCAAATGCATGGAAATTGGAATAGAATGAATCATAATTTGCATACTTCCAAGCACGTCTTGGTTAAGAAATAGATCTATTGATTTAATTTCAACAAACAAATGTAACAATTAATGTAATCAATACTGCAAAGCTATTATATTGTTAAAAGGGTCTCATTGCTGTCAAATCTAGGGTACATGGATTTTTTTTTGCTTAGATTTCAGATTTTATAATTTATGATTCTGTACATTTTTAGCATAGTTTAAATCATTTATTTAGCACATTGTTTAAGACCAGAAAACAAAATATCTGAATAAATGGAGAAGCATAGAAGTTACAGATTTAAATGCACACCAATCGTCTCAGAATTCTGTCTTCTTGAATAAAAGTAATGACTTATAGCATTGACATTTTACAACATGGAAATGTTGTTTTAGGAACCCCAAACCCAATCCATTAATAAAAAAATTATTGTTACTTAATTTCACAAAAACAATGAGAAAAGACCGTGATCTTTATTTAACTCTGCTGATCTGAAAATCGCTTCCCAATGACCTATGCATGTAGGTTTATGATACAGTAGAATTTAAGCACACCTGTGGTATGAATTCAACATGGGTGATGATTAGATAACATACAATATTTTGAAAACAATTAACAATGCCACTGATTCATATGCAGCTTGAAAACATTCCTCTGCCCGTATAATCCAAAAAGCAACCTACTAGAAAGGAAAGTTACCTTCGGTATGGGTCTTCGGTGATGGTTGATGCTTTCTATCTGATGCTGTTCACTTGCGAGATCAACACGGCTGAACAATAACAAAGCGAGTCCCATGTCCTCATCAACAGTCCAAAATGACGACCTCCATGTTGTTCCCAAAGAGGATCTGATGGACCACCATCAACCTGAAAGAATGACAAAAATAATAGGAGGGTTAAAGAAAGACAGAATACAGTCAGGTCTCCTGCACTAGTGACCTGCTTGAAGCAAATCTGCTTCACAGTTTGAATTAGCTCCACCTGTCTCAAACTGCTTGCTGCCTCTCTAATAAAGGCACAGAACGGCTGTTCAATCATAGCAGCTCCTACGCAAAGAGCTAAATTTAACAAATATTTTACATCGAAAGATTACGCATTTCTACTTGTATGCTGCTGCTTCCATTGAAGTGCTTGTAAGAAGGAACGTATCTGTGTAATGATCACCTAACTTGAAATAGAATCCTTTTTAGCACTCAAAGCTTCTCCAGGCACATTAAATCATTTCCATCAGTTTTCTACAATTACAGTATTCTTGCATCATACAATACTTTGACAGATAATTCTCGGGTATGAAATTTTGTTCACGCCCACTTTACCAAGTATAAAAGGTCTTAGAGTGTACATAAAAAGTAATGAATGAATGCTCTTTGCCACTATGTTGCTAGAATAACAAGTATCACTAACAACATAAAATGACCACAAAGAACTTACAAGTCATTTACAAGTCATATGGGTCATCCACAGCAGCACAAAACCATGTAACTTTGTCACAGATCCTCGATTTTCAGTATCGAAACTTAGAGCATTAGATACACTGATTTGACTACAACTGACTTGAGCACTTCCAATTTGGCCACAATCAGTGCAGCAAACCGAATGCCTGGCATTCACAGGAATTGCTGTGCATAAACAAGGCTGTGGAATCAAACTTTTAAGAATAAAATTATCAATATGTTGTTTCAAATCATCTGCTTTAAACAATACTTTTGAAGCTATTTTGACTTTCCTGTTAAACACCGCACTGTAACAGGCCTGAAGCAATTTGCAGTATAAATTAAGAGTCAACATTCATTTATAGTTATGCACAGTTCACGACTTGCTCACAAAACCTCTAACAGTTTGCTTACAAACATGAATCATAGTCATTGAGAGGAATGACTGAGAATAGAATCATTAATGGTGGGTACAATGTGACGTTTTTCGGTTGAACTAACACCTTTCGGTATTCAATCCATTTGTAATCACATTGTGTGAACAACTGGTCAGACACTATCAAGATAGGAAAGACAACAACTATCCAGAACAAAAGAAATCCGTTTTGCCACCATTTTTTATTACAGCACTTTGACTTGTTACTACTGCAGCAAGCTGAATACAACAATATCTAGATATATTACATACATGTTACAAACACTGCCAAGATCTGTTTGTTACTAAAACAAACATTAAAATAATAAAAATAATAACAATAATAATCTTGCATTTGATATAGAGTCTTATCACGTCGTTGAGGTGGCTGAAAGTGCTTCACAGAATATATTGTCAAGTGGATTGACTGTTTTTTGTGGGTAAAACAACACTAAAAATATATCAAAATATATACTAAAAATATATGTTAACAGAAGCTTGAGTTTAAAATAATGAATGTGCATGTTTAGTACAACGCAGAACAAACACTTTGGGTGGTTAATAATAAAATCCATTTCTAGCTACCATCCGATCGATGACTCATCTTCAATGACAAGTCTCTCTCACATTGAATAGGTCAGGGAACTCAGAAGTTCCTTCAAAAATCTTCCTAATGCATTTACAGTGTGAAAAACATTAACAAAAAAAAGTTGACATTCAGTGACAAATCAGGAATAAGGACCACCCTTACAGTACAGATACTGAAGCCAGTTAGACAACATACTGTGCAAATATCTGCTAGAACATGAGTCATCTTACAAATATTCATTCTGTACTGTGGGGAAGAATCATACGTAAGATGTAATAAAGAAATCCATAACAGTGGGGTAACAACTTAAATGGGAGCAAAATGGTCTCATTCGTCAGGAAACAAGGGACATTTTTTGGACTGAGAATGAAACAAAATTACTCTCTCAACCACTCACCCCTGTCTTTGTATCTCAATCACTCGCTCTCTCTTTTTCTCTCACACACTTTTTCGCACCCACTTTCTCCCCCTCTCTCACACGCTCTCTTGTATACATGTTACAAACACTGCCAAGTGAATCTGTTTGCTACTAAAAGAAACATTAAAATAATGATAATTTTGCATTTGATACAGCACCTTATTAATTATTCTCTTACTCCCCCCCTCTCACACCCTCTCTTCCCCCACACACTCTCCCTCCTCTCTCAATCACTCTTTCCTTCCACCCTCTCTCTTTCCCTCCCTCTTTCTGAAATACTCTATCACTCCCTTTCTCTCCCCCACAAAGACTCTCTTTCCCCTCTCACACTCTCTCTCTCTTTATGTCACCCTCCTTATCCCTGATTCTTTTTCTTCCCCGCTCACTCACGCTCTCTCTCTTGTCCTCTATCTATCAATCACTCTCTGTCAATCACTCTCTCCCCCTCTCACACACTCTCTTTCCCTCTCTCAATTACTCTCTCACTCCCACTCTCTCCGACTCTCTCTCATTCACTCTCTCTGCTCTCTCCCACCCTCTCCGCTTCTTTCTCTTCCCCCACTCCCTCACACTCTCTCTCGAGAAGAATCTCTCTTTCTCCCCCTCGCCAATCACTCTCTCAATCACTCCATTTCAATCACTCTCTCCCTCGCCCTCTCACTCTCTTTCCCTCTCTCAATTACTCTCTCTCACTCCCCCTCTCTCCCACTCTCTCTCAATCACTATCTCTCTCTTCCTCCGTTTTTTTCCTCTCCCCTTCTCTGTCGATCACTCGGCCCGAGACCATTTCCAACTTCGGGCCTTCTGCTCAATCCCTCCTCAGCGAACCATCCTCTCATGGCAGAGGCAGGAGTCGGCTGTTGGTAAGGACGCGGTGGATAATGAGATCTGCTTGACTTCTCCTCAGCTTGGGAGGGACGCCCTGACAGACTGCAGCAATAGGCTGCTATTATTTCCATTTCCCACACGCGCCATGTCCTCCCAAACAGCAGCTCCTGCCGCTGCTAAGAAACCACGGTTCCCCAGGAGGGAGAGAACGGGCCGGCCTGAAGTTGGAAATGGCCTTGGGCCGGATTAAACCATTCCCCGGGCCGGATGCAGCCCATGGGCCTCCTGTTGGACCACACTGTCTTAGACTATGTAATTCCAAGTTCCGTCGTGGGGCTTGAACCTGCACCCTCTGATTTAGAGGCGAGAGTGATACCATTGAGCCAAGCTGACACACATTAATAATCTCTTTCTATCAATCACTGAGAAAAGGAGAAAAAGACCTGAAGACAGCTCCAAAGCAAGTGTATAAAGTAATAATAATCCTTGCATTTGATACAGCATCTGACCTCACATCGGCGAGACGTCTAAAAGCACTTCATAGGATTGACTATATATTTTGTGGGCAAAACGCCCACAAAGGTATGTTGTAAGAAAGGAGAAAATCAAATTATATTCCTCAAACAATGTTGTTGGATCAACTGAAAAATGTATTATTTTGTCATATTCAAACTATCCAACTTTTGATTAACAATATAACTTACATTTATATAGCTGCTTTCACATTGGGAGGACGATTCAAAACACTCAACCAAACAACGGTTCGAATAAGTTGTATGAAGGAGGATGTCCATGGATTGAAATTGCAATCTAAACTTCTTTCAACCTGCCTGGGATCGGATTTAATACAATTATTTACGCCACATGATATATATATATATTTCAGTAAATGGAAATGCTTTTGTATTATCCATGGAAAAGCTTAGCTCTAAAGTAGGTATTTAATATCGGAGTATTTCTATAGTAAGCTCCAAGTCATCTTCGGATACACTAAATGATGGGATAGTAATCTGAAAAATGGATCATGCACTGCAGAAGGATTTTTGATTTATGACATCAAAGCAGCAAAGCGAATCTATCTGGCGTCCCGTAGAGTATTGGTTAGAGCACTCGCCAGAGGACCCACGTTCATTTCCCGGGCAGGGCAAAACCTTAGGCATGTTTCCTTACGCTACACGCTTCTATTTTCCTTGGAGTAAATAGGAACCCAGTTGTTAGTCAATTGGCGGATCACTAATAATAATCCCTCCAAAACCAAACAAACAAAAATTTGGTCACTCAATCCACGACTGTTTTTAGGAGACTGCTGTACGCAATTGGTAGCTGCATTTCACCCACAAAATACACAGCCAATTCACTTTACAGTAATATTCTGTGAAGCCCTTTGAGGTGTCTCAAGGATGTGATAAGGTGCTATATCAAATGCAAGGATTATTCTTATTTTTATCTAAAATAATAGTGATGAGTATTCAAGGTTATCTTAACTTGAAAGGACTAATATTCAGGTCTTCATAAGGCTTGAGGTGAAAGCTCTACCTCCAAGGATTTGACTGTTAAGAAATAGACATCGATTTTAAGATAACTATCTTCCTTTTCAATTATCAATTATTCATGTTTGTAACAAGGTTTTAAGCAAACTGAGAATGTTGTCATAAAATGCTGCAACCTGGTCTATTTAGCTATTCTTTTCAAGTTAATTTACACTATAACAACGCTATATTTTGTAGCTTCATTTACGAGAACAATTTGATTATTCCTTCGTGCAAGAGGAACGTCCTAGAGTGATGATCTACATCGTACAATGCTTTGGCTACATTTGCAGATAATTGAAAATTCAATACCGGAGTTCTGTAGGAGGGAGATAGGCAGAGATTGGAGAACAGATCATCTTCTCTGTTAGACTGGGAATGGCTGGCAGTAGCTAGTGATCTTTTCTTTACAAAAACACAGGAATGAAAATAAATAGGAAAATTATATATGCTTCCAGCGCCTTGGGACGTCCTCCCGACATGAAATGTAATTTTGTTGTCGTTGTTATGTTTTCTACCATTTCGCCCAAAAATATCTAGTCAATTCACTTTACAGTATAATCTATGAAGTGCTTTGAGAAATCTTAAATATGTGATAAGGCGCTATATCAAATGCAAGGACTATTATTATTATTATTATTATTATTATTATTAT